CTTTATTTTAAGGATCAATTCTCACTATTAACTAGTGGCTTTTTAGCATGCATAGTACTAGCATATTGGATGTTTATTAGTACTTATAAAGCACATATTCATGCCTTATTCTGCATGATCATAACAACTACCTTACTAACTATTAATAAGCAGCAACTTAAGAGTTTATGGAGGCATAAGTTACAGTTAGTAGTAAACTAATAGCGAGAATTGGACATTAAGATAAAGTGTGACCATCATTTGAATATAATGATACCAGAAAAAGTATAAGGCATGTACAGTAGTAGGATTGCTATTATGGGCAAGCGCATGGTATCTAACTTTATGTCAATCTCTGACTCCATTTTTTAAATTTTTTTTTTGGAAGTGATCACAACCCAGAGCAGCACACCCCCCACTCCCAAATCCTGTGCCCAACATATCAGTCTGACAGCCCTGCTGTGAATTAAATCAAACTGCATATAATACCAACATCATTCCCTGCCCTGAGGACAGAAGCCAACAAATGTAGACCAAACCGCAACAAACAAATCATCCACCAATCAAGTGTAAAGATATGGTTCGTCTACCCCTGACCTCTTCACAACAATAATGTCTGGTTATTTTGACATACATGTGACATAAAAGTGTGTGTGTTTTGTTTTTTTAAGGATTCCTGTAAGACTAAATCCAGACAGGAACTGAATGCAGTGGTTTGTTACTCTTTGACATGTCCTTGGTTTGTCTCTGAGAGTTTGTTTATTGCTGCCAACAGTTTTTGTAAACATTGAAAGACAATACCACAATAAACCCTGACGTTGACTAGCTATCTATTCTGATTATTTCAGAAATCAAACGTCAACTGATAGTACAGTCTAGTTACTAAGGGGGAAAAAACCCTAACTTTTCAACATCACATCACAACAAAAACAAACCAGTACAAAACTGTCTAAGTGCAGTCAATTCACATTTATTTATATAGTGCTTTATACAATTTCAAAGCAATTTCACATTAATAAACATTAAAAATAGCAGTGGTAAAGTTGTAAAACTCAGCAGCTATACAGATGGCAATATCTGTGTCATTATTCAAATATGTCGATCAAATATGTCCTTATTCAGCTCAATTTTGTTCAGTGTTGATTAAATTCAGTTCAATAAAATGTTGATGTTGCAAAGTTATCCAATTCAATTCAGTTCAAATTTTGCTCTCATCGTTCTGTAGTTATGAACATACTGGTAAAAAAAAAAAAATAATGTATAGCCTGAATGCACTGTAAGTCGCTTTGGATAAAAGCGTCTGCTAAATGCATCAATTATTATTAATTATTATGAATGTGTAAAGTATGGATAATACTTTTTTTTTTTACGGTGTTCTTGTCACACATTGTATTACATGTAATTCTAATAATACTACAAAGATGGGCTATAATTTCACTGGTGTTGGTAATAATGTCAACAAATTCTGTATCACATATTGTGTATGTATAGTCCGATTACAGCAGTATGATGTGCATTTTTTTTTCTTTTACCACAAATTTGCCTATAGCACTAGACCTAGAGTTAAACAACATCTCACTGGATGAATGTATTGCACTGTGAAATCATCAATTCTAAAGGAAATGTACCAGCTCTGTTCTCCTGACTAAACTGACTAGGATTCATGGTCCCTCCTGATATGATTCATCTACCTCAGCACCATCAATCTGCAGTCCTATGCTCAGAGCTGCTCAACACCTTGCCATCAGGCTCATAAGCTATGGTCCTGTTGCCATCATAGATCAAACATCACATAACAGTGATGGTCTTCAATTATGAGCCATCCACTAAAAATAGAGTACCTTCACGTGATCATGAACAGGCGCCTTACATCCTGAAAGAGCCAGAGGTTTGGGCATAATGGATATAGACACAGCACGTCAAATTGACTGTTATGAAATACAAATCCATTTTAAAAATTAAAACACTACCACAACCCACAGAAGCTTCGACGGTGATGCATTTCCTCAGAAAACTGGGGAGGGCCCTCAAAGCAAGACACACAAACGCTCACAGCTTAGCTTCAGTATCTCTTCTTTAAATGAAAAAAAAAAAAAAGTCCTAAGGGAGTTTATGCACTTTAATTTAAGTTCCCCTAAGAATTATACCAACCACTGCATGGCTAAACTTAGCTCTATTACTCGGAGTGTTCCTTCTGCAGAAATTATAATGGATAATTTAAACCTTAAGCTCATGAAATAATCATCATTATGAGCTGGAAGACGTCTGTTCGCCTTTCCATCACTTAGACCTCGCTTGCAACGAGGTCACAATAGGAATGAAATGAAAATGAAAACTGACTTGAGCCAAATGTACACTGCAGGATGTCTGCCATTAATTTGTAGCCAAATTTGCAGATTGTAAAATAACTAAGTGTAGAACATACAGGCATGCAGTAATAAGGTAAACATTGTTGCAATTTGTGGCAGTGTAGAATTCAATGCCACTTTTGCCCAGCCATGATAGTTGTCATTTTTCTCAGATAAAATGTGAGAAAATGGCACAAGAACTTGGTGCACTAGATTCTAAATTCATGCACTTCATATAGTTTTAAAATGTAGGAGTGTACTTTTTCCACACAACAAATGGGCATTTAAAGATGCATTCAGTAGTTCTCGATCTAACGTTAACATTGCTAGTCTTTGTAAATTACAGTGATAGTAGTTTTTAGAAAGTGGTCTGCACAAAAACGACTTCCCTTACCGGTCCAAAAAAAAAAAACACTTGGACATCACTATTTTCTTCAGGATTTTCTTCAGCCTCCACTGGTAAAGCCTGATAATAAGTGTGTTCCATTGTGTAATTTTCACATCACCAAACAACACTACACTACTAATGGATATACAGAGGTGACAACCAATGAAAGTGAGGATTTTCTCCAACGTTTAGTTAAACATTTCAGGTCACTGCTATATTCCATTCTCCACATAAACACTGACAAGAAGGCAATACAGTATCTGTACAGGGAAAAAAAATAATTTGGTGTAACTTTTCTATATTGTTCAGTTTGACAAAAAAAAAAGATTTTTGATGTTGTACAGTCTGTGTGGGCTCAATTTCATTGGGGTCATACTATACAATCTGATTATCAACAGTCATAGAAAACAGAAAGTCTAGGCAGCTTTAGACTCCATAACTAAAATAACAATATTAAACCAGAGCTTCAGTGTATATTCGTTTCATCTGCACAGCGGGAGTAACTAAAATAACCCCAACGGTGTCGGTCTCACTGAACCAAACAAGACATTTCCTTTATTTATAGTGTCATCTTTTTAAGGTGAGGAAGGAAAATCTGTCTCACACTAACACAAAACTTCACACTCATCTTTTTCTTCATCTCTTGTGAGGCACAGCTAATTTTAAAAGACTCATTAGCCAGCGTTGTCTTCACAGAATGCAGCCATTAGACAATGAACCATGCAATAAATCACTCCGATTTCTGCCCTCGCAGACCAAGCAAGGGGCAGCCAAGGGCAGCACTAAGTCCCACCAAGTTGCTGCAGTGGGGAGGGCCCAATGTCAGGAATGAGGAACCACCGTGAGCCAAATGCCGACAGCCCAACAGCAGGAAAGATGATGCTGCGCCAACCTGGCATGTCCGTAAGACCCTTCTGTGTCCCCTTCCACCCAGCCTGTTCACATCTCAGGCTTTTGTCACCATTTATGATTACAACAGTGCAGAGCTGAAGTATGGGGAGTACATAAAGCTACCGAATGGAAGCAAAACAGATGCCTGTGACAGCAAAGTTGCGGTAATGAGGGATCAGGACGGGGAGTGAGACTGGTGCCAAGACCCTGGTGAGAGGATGCAGCATTTGTGTAATTGGCTGGGAAAGATCAGAGCCAAAGCCATTCAGAACATTGTTTCACTGCAAAGAACTGTACAAAGGATTCTAAAGAACAGTGACGTCAATACGATGAACAGGTTTACTGGAAACAAAAGAAAGGCAGACATGCCTCTTTGTGGAGTTGCTTGAGATGTTTTCTGTATTTATTACCTGAGGGCCCTGTGACCTGATTGTCTGTTGATGTTGATGGTAAAAATGAAGCTTTTGATACTGTAACGGAGCCGACGAGACGAGAGGCATGCGGATCCATATGCAAGCATTTATTTACAGGCAGGGTCAACCCAGGCAAGAGTCGGACACCAGCAAACAGATATGTAGAGGGCAAGACAAAAGAGGAATCCAAAACAAGCAATAATCCAATCGAGGTGCAAACACAGTCCGAATCAGCAAGGCAAAGGGTAAATCCAAGACAGGCTATAAACTTCAGGGCAGGCAGAAATCAGACAGGACGAGATAACAGGCTAGGATCAAGACACGGGAAAACAGACTATGAACAAGGCTAGACTCATGAACTTGGAAGGGCTCCGTAAAGTAGCTATCCCTAGGTGAGCGATAAATGCTGAACAATACTCGGCGTTGAATGGTGGTGTGAGACTGATTTATATAGTGTGTGTTATTGGTAGCAGCTGTGTGTGATTGGTTTCAGGTGAGCTTGTGATTAGTGCAATGGAGCATGGGAAATGTAGTCCAGGGTGATGTGTAACAGTCTGTGTGGTGTGAGAGTCAATATAAAGGGAGGGCGACCTCTGGTGGCAAGCAGACAGAAGTTCATGGACAGGACTCGTGACAGATACACTTGACTGCAAAATCTGGTATAAAAGCAGGGGCTGTCGATCTCCAAAAAGAAAGAAAAGCACCATTAAAGTGCATACTACTCATTCCAACTTTTCTGAACTTTCAGAAGAAAGAAACACTTTTACTTTACTTTTTATCTTACTTAAAGGCAGTTCTATCTTTTTATTTAGTAAGTTAGGTAGTTAGTTTATTTATTTATTGAATTCTTATTTTTTTTAGTAAGAAGTAGGCTTGCCGCGATAGACGGTGCTGACGGTGATACCGGTGTTAAGCCGCAACACCGGTTACGTCACTTGCCCAACGCGTCACCGACCCCCACCGTCGTTTTGATTTTTTATAGTAATAAAAATAATTTAGTTCAGTAAAAGAACAGACAGTACAATTAAAAACTGAACGCGGCTACTCAATGTAGCGTGCCGAATGACAGTCGCATCACATGAGTCGAGCTGACTGACAAGAAGAGTGAGGTGAGACAGACAAGACGAACGCGGATGATTTAGTTTCGAAACTAGAAGCAAAAGCGCCTGTTTGGCAATATTTTGGATTTTGGAAAGCGTGTTGACTTTTGCCATTTATCTAAGGTGATTTGGGAAGTTTTTTCAAACATTCTTATTTAATTGGTTCCACATTGTTTGCTGATTTTTACTTTATTACCAGTGTTGTCACACATCGATTAACCGGTGGGAAAATTTCCTCACCGTCACAACCTTAGTAAGAAGTATACATACATATGCAGCAACATAACACATACAATAAATACATTATAATCACCCATTATAATCAATCATTTAAAAACAAGTGACTGCTGAAGGATTTAAATAATTTGTATATTTATATGCAGTGGTGGACGAAGTACACAAATCAAGTACTTGAGTAAAAGTACAGATCCATATAATAAAATATTACTCCAGTAAAAGTAAAAGTACTCAGTTTTAAATTTTACTCGAGTGAAAGTACAAAAGTAATTGATTTTTTATCTTTGGTTGTTACAATTGTGTTTATAAAGCACATATGTGATGGTAAGGAACTTACGATAAAAGCATTTCATGCGTCTGAATCTCTGATTGCATTTTATCTAAATTTGTATTGCTTTGATGATTTCTGTATTATTGCAGTTCTATGATATAAGACAATGTGAGAAAACTTTGTAAACCACTTTTATAAATATGGTTTGTCAAGAGGTTTCTATTCTGGCACTCATATACATGATGAATCAGCATGTGAATCTCAGCGATGGTGACAAAATATTCTGATAATTTTGATATGATTTTTGAACGTCACAAAACAAGGCAGTAAAAAGTCACAACAAAAATAACAGCAAATAGTAAGCATAAAAGAAAACCCTAAGACAATGCAGCGGCATAATTTATTCATGTCGCAATGCATGCTGGGAGCCATGGATGAGTTATGATTGGTGCACCATTGTTGAGAAAAAGTGCTATATGGCACCTCTTATGGTTCTACATGGCACCATTTGACAACATGTCGCAATGCATGCTGGGAGCCATGGATGAGTTATGATTGGTGCACCCAGAATGCAATGCTTCATGAATCTGTCTGATGATCGTCACTTTTGTTGAGATTCATATGCTGATTCTTGATGTCTGTGTGTCTAAACAGTACAGGTGTTCTAAACTGGTGTACAAAGTGTTTAAGTTCTTCATATTTGTTTAAAGTGCAGTTGTGATCAATAACAAACTAAATTATACATCACCACTGATGATATCAGTGAATCAGGCAATGCATGACAACTACTTAGCCAAACAAAATGGCCAATATAACTTGATCACATATTCTCGTTTTTTTTTTGCAATAACAAACGTGTTACATAAACACAGTTACAACATACAAAGAAAAACTAATGTAAGAAAGTCAAGGGTCAAGAGCCCAACTAAAGCAAATGCTTATCTCCACAACGGTGACTTAAATTTGTATTCTTTTCATTAACATTATGTAGGGTTTTTCAACTCAAAAAGGGAAATATTTATGATGAATTATAACTGGTTATGATTCATAATAAATATTTAGATTAGATCTTTGAATTAACTGTAGCAGAATCAATATTACCATCATTTTCATAATTATTTTTTTTCTTCTCAAACCTTGTCTGTCACTTTCCACTTTGATAATTACTGTAGTTACCATGTTCTGAACATCACATCCTTTCTTTTTCCCTCAGATGTAATGAATAAATGTGGTTGAATAAAAATATTTGAACTTTATTTTTTAAAAGTTACCTCAATTTAGCACCAGCAAGCTCATTAGCTAGACAGTTAGCATCAGCTAACATTAGTGATTTATTTTCAGCATGGTTATGAATAAACATTTATATTTGTCTACTCAGCTAGTTGATCCAGATACATAGTAACTTAAGCTATGTGCGCTGACAAACAATATAAAAACAGACATCACATAGGGCTAAATGCATAGCAGTTTTGTAAAACTGCTAACATTACAGCAGCGGGGAAGATAAACGTGCATGAGTTATTTTATTTAATCTGTGTTATTTTAATGTTTTTTGACCTAAAACATAGAGACTCTGATTTTAATGTGTTTGCATTCAAGCATTTCAGTGGGCTTAAACAGATCACCCTTTTCAGCAGATTTAGTTCACAAACAACTGACAGCTTTGCCCTAAATAGCATTTTCAGTTACAATAATGAATCCTAAAATTCGACATTAGTAACTTTGGGTTCATTGAAAATAATTAGTTCGTTCTTGAATCAGACATCGCTTCTGCGTGTCGGAGCACGTGATATATTATAAGGAGTAACGATAAGTTTTATGAAATGTAGTGAAGTAAAAAGAGCGATCTTATGCTTTGAAATGTAGTGAAGTAAAAGTAAAAGTTACTCAAAATAAAACTACTCCAGTAAAGTACAGATACTTGAAAAATTTACTTAAGTACAGTAACGAAGTAAAACTACTTCCTTACTGCCCACCACTGTTTATATGTTTTTTTTTTCAATTTAGACCTGAATTGAAGTAGTTATTTACTGAAAATCTTTCCCCCTACCATTTTGTTGCTCTCATATCTCTTTCGTACTTCCACAAATGCTCACTCGCCATTTCATGATCAGTCATGACACGCAAAAGCCAATATTGTTTGACATCAACGGTGCCATATCTGCCATGCATATTTGAATATATGAAAAGGTAAATGAGATTTGAGTGCTGTGACGGAATCGGAGATTATGAGTCAATAACTGCTGAAGTTGTTAGTCTGTTCTAACAAAAAGTTAATTTATGACTCCAGATTACTACAGAATAAAGTCAGATTAACTACTTTTATGGTATGTTTTGGTACTAAACTGCTAAATATCTACTTGAGAATTCCATACACAGCATGGAACAACACAATGTTTTTAACACCTAATTCATAGAATAGAAATACTAACTTCTACAATACTTACATGCAAACTGTATACAATAATTTTTTACATTAACAAACATGAAAAAAGCCTTATAGGGCCAAGCACTCCATCATCTCCATTACCATCCAATACCATTTAAAATTCTATAAATCAAGGCATGACACAAAATGGCTCATACTTGATCAAATATGTGTAAATTGCTTGGACTGTTTCACAGCTGCGTCCTGCCATCTTTGACCCCTGTTTTTATCCCAGTCAAAAGCTCTCCATCCGCTATTGCGTACATGTGAAACAATTTCAAAAGGCAGACCCTGGAGGCATCAGTCCTATCTGGTAATTGGGTCCCTTGTCACCCACTGAATGCAATAACAACATTCTTGGGCTCAGCCTTAACCTAAATGACATCGGTGTCCTAGTTTGCTTCCTGAGTATTATATTCCTTGGAAAGGTTACGACAGATTCGCAGTCTATTAGAGGCATTTCATCCAGGAGTGAGAAGAGTCGATAAGCTCAGAAAACACAGATAAAACAATAGACAAAAAAATAAAAAAATAAAAATTAGCTAAGTGAAATTAAACCAATATCAATCATCACAGAAGGGAATAATGCACATATTATGTTACAGCTGCATTTTAATTACTAGTTTTCTTTTTTTGTAATTACAGTTTTTCCTTATTGTAAAGGTCAATGACAGACTTATTTCTCACAGTAAATGACCAATAAATACTAGGGCTGGGTACTGACACATATTTCATAAATCGATTCCATTCACAAGCTTGATTCAATTCAATTTCAATTCTGATTCCAATTTGATTAGATTTGATTCATTTGGATATATATCTACTGTATATCAAGTACAGTACATGCCAATTTTTCTTAAGGAAAACATCCTCATGTAATGCTGTAAACTATTCAAGAAACCCTGTCAGTTGTATTATTATAACATAGTTGTACACAACATTTACAATGCATATTAGAAAGTTTTTATACCACCTTTTTAATTAAATTGTTTTTAATCCAATTTGTTGTTGACATATACACATTAAAATGGTAGTTGTAATATACAAATTGTTTTCAAGACAGATTTACATAATATAAATGAGACATCACTATCAGGTGTAGTAAAAATATAATTAATATGCAATACAGTTTTCAAGAATCCGGTCTATAAACTTCCGTTCACTCACCACCAGAGGTCACCTGCTCTCCACATGGACTCTCACACTACACAGACTGTTACACATCACCCTGGACTACATTTCCCATGCTCCATTGCACTAATCACAAGCTCACCTGAAACCAATCACACACAGCTGCTGTTTTGCCTGTGCCATACCTGTTTGCTGTTGTTCGACCCTGCCTTTGTTTTTTGACCGTGTTTATTAATAAAAGCTTGCATATGGATCCGCACGCCTCTCGTCTTGTCGGCTCCGTTACAATAGTACATATATTTAGCAAAATGTTTTCCTGAGGTAAATGTAATGTGACATTATTTTTAAACTATTTTCTGATGTTCATTTATGTTTATTTCATGCTATAGTAGTAAAGAGGAAGAGCCGATCTGTTTATGTGCTCTCCACGCTGCCGCTTGAACTGAGGACGGCTACAGTGATCTGTGGAATTTATCGATATTGGTTCATCGAAATGAAGATCAATTCAAACTAATTAAGCAAATTTATCAACACATCCCTAATAAATACAGTATGTATTCTCTCTGAGGGGTTTATCTTGAGGAACTCAAAAATGGCAGTTTCTTGGAAATCCCAGGTTTTCAATCTGAGCACTGACACTGAACAAAGCTGATAAACGACAACAACAAAAAACAGCTAAGCATGAATCTTCAAAGCAAGCTTCAAGCTACAGTAGGTAACAATGCCAGTTCTGAGAACTGATAAAATATGATCACAGTTGGATCTGTTAGCTGCAGACACAGTGTGCTCTGATAAGGTTGATAAAATTACATGGCAGTAAAGCTATTTGTCACGGGCATGATCTAAAAGTGACAACTGCAGAATTCCAGAAACCATGCGTGTTAAAATACAAAGGTGGGATAGTCCCAGTAAAGCATGCCAGATTGATCATTTATGGCGCTTTTCCACTGCGTGGTACGACTCGGCTCGGCACGGCTCAGTATGGCACGGCACGGTTCGGCTCAGCACGGTTTGCATTTCCACTGCAGTTCAGTACCGCTTTAGAGTGGGCGGGATTATTCACATGTCGCTATAGTTGCGCCGCCTCTACTATCACGACTTCTAAAAAAAACTTTTTCATTCCGCGTCGCCCCATCAAGCTCTCGCTGGATCCGCTCCTCTGCTATCAACGAGAGGAACGTCTGTTCTTCCGCAGCAGACAACAAAACTTTTTGGTTGTTAAAAAAAGGTCCACTCGTTCAAAACAGTTGCGTTCGATTCTTCACTGGCTGTGCTGATTTAAATCTAGCGGTTCTTTTGTGTTTGTGCCGCAAGTTCATTTATTCAGGTAGTGACGATTCTCTCCGGCCAATCCATGATCAGCAGAGTTTACACGTCACGTTTTGGTAACGGTACGGTTCACTTGGAACCCCAACCGAGGTGGTACTAAAAAAAGTACCAGGTACTGTACCCAGTGGAAAACCCCCAAAAAGTGAACCATACCGAGCCGTACCATGCAGTGGATAATTTTTAACGCGTTTGCAATACATATTGATAGATGACTGTTGAGGTTAGATCAGCCAGACAGTAGTACAGTTTTCACCTACTGAACAATACTGTCCATAGGGTACCAATACATATAAGATGTCCAACATTATTTCATGGTGATTGGTCTATCTATTTAAAAAAAGTTTATCTGTTTGATTTTAAAAACATAATGCTCATGATGTCAAATACTGAAAAAAGGGAAACAAGATGCCATTGCAACATATGTGCATGTAACAAGATTTTGTGCTGTGTATGCACCTTCTTAAACTTCAATGTAATGGTGCACCAAAGCATATTTACACCGGAAAGAACATTTAGTCAAAAAATGTCCATAATTTTATTTAGCTCACCTTTCCACAAAACCTCCACAATCCTTAACAAACGGTCAATATTTTCAGATGGTAAAAAAAATATGTTCTGCAATATGTTCTTAAGGATTATGTGTAACTGAGCATTTTTTGGTTGAGTAGTTTACCATCTTAGAACACGTAAGCTGAAGTCTCAGCAGAACAGGACAACAAAACCCAAAAACTTTGTGATCCCTAAATCTTGCCACCAGAGGAAAACAAGAAATGCATTAAACAGGTTGAGAAACTGAGCGGCATATAAAATGTTCTCTTCAATGACAAACAATTTGCTTTCCACCACAGGTCCATGCACCTGAAGTACATCAATTCAGAAAAGAAAAAAAGGCCTTCAGCAAATAAGAAGATGCCTATTGATTTCAAACCAACCGCAGCTTGTTAAACTTGAGGGGACATTCACGTAAAACCACTGTGGCAAAAGTTACTTTATATGTGAGAGCCGATAATATTTTCAGCATCCTTGTGAGAGGTTTAGAATTGGTAGGCATGCATAAATAAAGTATATCGTCACCTAGACTGCGGCCACGATCAATAGAATCAATGGGAAGTGTGTGACGTGATCTTCATGCAATAACTTCACAACTCCTTCAACTATCTTACCAACTATCTATAGATAGTTGTTCATCTTACAACAGATGAAAATTTCCCAGAACTTTTGGAAACTGGTGAGTCATTTTTTAAAGGCAGATTAAGGTTTACTGGTCTGGAGTATGCAGCAGGATTTATTCAGAACTGAAATGATAACGCTTTCAATTCAGTAGCAGCTCTTGACTATAAATTTAGATGGGGCAGATTCTGAATTGTATCGTAGGCTATATGAGTAACCTAGGATTAAATGCTAGTAGCCTAAGATTTGCATTAAAATGACTGAACACATGCAGAACACTTCTGGCAGAAGTCTAGTGTTCTTGATGAATTCAGCCTGAGGATGGCACTGTAATGTTGATTGGCTCTACATACATAGAATGTTATCTTAAAGTGGTCACACATCGGACGAGAAGCGTGGACAATTCACAGGTATCGCACACCGGACGCGTCATGTTCAGTTCAGTTCAAAACAGCTGTCCAAAACAGTTAATCTAATCGTCAACAAACAAAAAGCAAACATTATTTTATTGCTTATCATTTTTCTTTCTGGAATGTAGCTATTTTGTATATTCCTACAGTATTTATTTACACATTTGATGTGACACATTTATGAGTTAACAATTTAGGACTGATTCAGTTTATATAGAGTTCTATGTTTTCATGTGAATTAATATTTTGGTGGGGTGAACGTTTTGGTGAACGTTTGGTGAACGTTTTGAATTGCAAGTCAAGTAAATTCCATTTCCTGTCATTCCAATTCAAATTCAACATGCCCAAATCGATTCAAATTTACACCCAGCAAAAGGAAGGTAGTTCTTCAATTCTACATTTTGCCTAACCCTAGAATGCAGGAACCTGTGCTGATGGATGCCTGTATGTTTGTCAGTAAACACCTGAGCAAAGAACCTACTCATTGCTTCAAGGTCACCAGGCTGTAGAGAGCAGAAGGATGTTCAGCGCTCCTTTCGTTATTGTAATGTGACTGATTCAATCATTTTCCTTCTTCTCAAGCCTCTGCAGACTCTCAGCGGCAGAGCTGCTCTTATCTCTACACACAGCCACAAATGTCTCATTCACCGAGTCTGCTGGTTTAGAGGTGAGCGTCTGTCAGCGTTATCTCTGTTCTAAATGTAGGTAACGCTGAGGTCAGGCTTCCGGTATGAAGAAAACAATCTTCAAACAGGAATATCAGCAATGCTCTGAACTCTCCCACTCTTCCATGAGAGCTGTAATGTGAAAGCCCTC